TGTATATAATTTTCCAATTCTTTGCTCAGATTAGGGAAGTTTTCCTTTATTATTTCACTGAATACTCCTCTAATGCCAACTTCTCTTTCTGCACCCTCTGGAACTCCCATAACTCTTATGTTGGACCTTTTAATCATATCTTTTAATTCTTGGATACTTTTTTTAGCTTGACCTAGCTCTGCTTCCAGCTTTTTGCTTGTTGCTTCATGGTGACAGGAAATATCTTCTAATTCTGATATTCTTTCTTCTGCTTCATTCATTCTGTTGTTGAGACTCTCCACTGTATTTTTAATTTGCTCTACTGTGTTCTTAATTGCTGATATATCAGCCTTAATTTGATGTATTACTGCTATTTCTTCTTTGAACTCTTGTTTGTACTTCTCATTGTAGACCATCAGCTTTGCAACGAGTTTTCTGAGTTCTTTGTCTCCCATTTTCTCAATGTCTTCCTCAGTTAACTCTGAGAGTGGGCGGAGCTTTTGCTCTTTTGTTGGAGAGTCTTCAGTAACATTCACAGTACTTTTGTCTTGTCTTTTACCTTTTGTAGTTGCCGCTCTGTTTGACGAAATCATCTCTATGGTATATTACCTACAGGTCTATAAGTTGATTTTTATGTTCAATCAGTGCCCCGGATTTGGGAAACACAGCTGTCCTGACAATTGCTTTGTCTGTGGTACTGATTTTGTAGGCAGCACTGAGCTTGTCGCCCGCTGCTGGCCGATAAGTCAGAGTACCTCCTGGGGGTATTTTGGGTGGAGTTGGCGGCGTGCCTTGTATGGGCTGTTTTCTCTGCGGCTGTGCAGTGCTCTAAGATGGTGGTATTTTTGTCCCCAGGTCAGTACTTGGGTGACTCAGCTGTTCTCCCTTCAGTGTAACACTGTCTGGTCCCGTGACACTGTTATCTGAGAGCTGCTGAATTAGCACATGCGCAGATTGCCACTCCTCCTCTTGCAGCTTATCAGTGTTTGGAGCACTTGCCACAGTGTCCAAGATGGCGCCCGTAGGGGCACCAGCAAAGGTCGGGAGGTGGGGGGGCTGTCCGCCGTCAGCTCCAGGGACCACACCAACCCTGCAGGGAGCGAAGCTGGCGTTTCCCTCCCCACGTAGATCAGTCCCGGGTAAACAGCCAGAAAGGAGCCGCTGTGCGGCTCTGTCAACTCCCCGTTCCGTCTCTCCGCACAAGATGGCGCCCTGAGTCCCCTGCTCCCTCCGCCTATTGCTGGTTCCAGTCACTCAGCTTGATTGTCAGCGCCCAGACTATATTAACTTTCCTATTCCCCACGCGGACCCAGGCTCTCACCTGGCAGTCACAAGAGTTGTGTGGAGGCCGCTGCTGGATGTTTGGCTGGCGCTGGAAACGGATCGCTAGAGCCTGGATCACTGGGATCTGAGTTGCTACTCGCCAACTGCTGGTGGGTTCTTCGGTCCACTACAACACTGCTGTCTCGTTTCCGCAGCTTCCCTGTGTCCAGGGGAGTTCCAGGTGCCCCCTGCTTACTGCCTGAGCCCTATTTTTTCCCTGAAATCTACTTATTGTACCTCTCCTTGCCTAAAGACTCTCCATTCCACCAAACACGTCTGCACTCTACGCCGCCATCTTAGAAAGTCTAAAAATAAATCTTTAAAAAAAAAATATGCACTTGTCTCGGGAGAGCCGTGCTCTGGTGAATCCAAGACATAATGGGGAAAATACCCTTTTATATTTGAGAAAAAAATGATGACTTCGGGACCCAGAATACTCTAAATGACTACTCCCCAGTCTAACTCCTCTCTCAAAACTGTTGGCAGAATCTCATCCTTCCAGGGACTGTTGGCACAACAACAGAAACAGGGGAATATTTTATATTGACATTCTTACTTTTAGATGTAGAAGTGATTGATCAATAAGTTTGCTCTGATGCCACTCCTACCACATATACATATCTCACCCGCATCTTGCTTAAATATTTATGCATCTGTCCCAAACAAGTAGGAGAGGGAGATCTAGGTTCTGGAATCTTTCATCTGCCTAGCTCACTCCCTACAGGAGTGGTAATGGCGAGGGCTGGGGCAGCTGTTAGTCCTGTCAGGGTCTCCCATGTGGGTGGCAAGGCTCAATGGATTTGAACTTTCACAAGGGGTCAGGGACAGGACAGAGCAGCACAGGAGGCTCCCTGGCAACAGGTCAGGAGCCAGGCTGCTTGCCCTGGCCACACCCAGGTCCTGTGGCTGTGTGAAGGAGTCACATCTCTGCTGCAGACTCCAAAGCCTCGTCTTTGGTGTGAGGAGTCAGATGGGAGAGTAGGGAGTTAGGGTCTCTGATGAAGTTACATTTAAGTACAAAATTGTGCTTCTCCCTGGTAAATTGTCCTTTAAACTGTAAAAATGTAAAAAGGGGGGTTTTCCCCTGCTTCCATACCCTTCTTGGAGCACAGTTCTCCCTCTGGGGAGGGAACAAAGAGACAGAATCAAGATATTGATCTCCATCTCTTAGAGCAAGGAGACTGGGCTCATACCAATCTCATCTCGGGGTCACTCTCAAAGGAATGGTGCCTTGGTTTTCTGCTTCTACTCAGGACTAGAGAAGGAAACCACAGGGTCACCCTTTACTTTCTGGCCCAGGTGGCAGAGCTCACAGCCTGTTGTGAATAAGTTTTTTCTTTCTGCCCTTGGAGTGATTCATGTGAAGCCCCTCCCTTTCCACCATTACTTCAGTCTTTCTTCTCTTGGAGTCCCCTCCTGCTGTTGGAACAGGAGCCTCTTCCCTTTGCTTAAATAAATCTTGCTTTGCAGACTAGAGTGATCCAGAGATGAAACTTTTTTCCGAGAGACAAGAAATGAGATTGTGTTGTGCCGGCTACCGGCTTCAAGGCAGCTGGATGGATGCACAGTCCCCCAGACAGTGATAATCCCAAGCTGGGAAGCAGGTGAGCTGCGAGTGGCGGGGCTTCCAGACTGCAGCACAGCCAGGCACCACAGGTGGGGGGCAAGCCTGCGAAGGTGGGGTCGGGGTCTCAGCTCTTCAAGTCCAAGTGGTCGCGACCCTGGAACAGTGAACAGCTCAGCGGGCACTAGCCAGCAGCAGACCGATGCGCGTGCAGTGCTGCAGGCGTCTCCTCCTCTCTGGGTAGGCCTTGCAGCTCTACAGCCAGGGACCATCTGTGGCTGTCACTGCTTGGAGCATTGGCAAGCCTTCACTGCTGTGGTCATGGTCACTGCGGCTGCCTCTGCCTTCACTTCTGCTGCTATCACCTGCTCCACAGCCACCCCCTTTCTAGGTGACGCTGCGGTCATGGTCACACCCTCGGTGCAGTGGCTGCTGGTGCCACTGCAACTGACCCGGTGTCAAGAGGTCAACAGCAACTTTTATTCGAGCAGGCCCAGGACTCCAAAGAAAAGGAAGATCCCGAACCTCCAAACATTAGGGCTTTTATACAAAAATCAGCCAATCACAAGGTTAGTTTTCAATATTTGTAAGGGACCTTAACACTATTGGTTAGTTCAAAAGGTAGGTGGGGGCTTTCTATTGGGGTGCTGGGACAAGTGTCCTGTAGGCAGGATAGTCCCCTCAGGGTACCTGGGCAAACTGCCCCTATGTTGCCGGATCTGGGGTCTCACATTCTGAGCAGAACAAGAAAAGCAGAAGTTAGAGAAGCAGGAATATAGCAATTAGCACCGAGCAGGGTGTTTGAACTGTATGTTCTTCAATTGCTGCCTGTCTCACACCAAATTCCCTGCAACTTTTGTCTCTGGCTTTAGCACCAAAAGTGGGAGCTGCAATGGGTGTGGGCCAGTCAGGCAAGGCTGCTGTGCAGTTTCTTGAGAGCTTTCCCTTGCAAACACTCTCCTCCTCACATTTACTGTCTTTTTGAACTTGTACAATAATTTGGTCTTCCAGGCTAGAGAAAGAGAGAGAGAGAGAGAGGAAAATGCATGCTTAGATCAAACCTTACAGCATTTCTCTCTTTCTCCCAAATCCAGTCCTTCTACAGCAAGGTCTCCTTGTGAGTTACCAAGGAAACTGACTCCTTTGGTAGGTTTGGTGCACATCCCTACTCAGCCTGATGAGGTTGCAGAAGACAGACGCTCCCCATGTTTCCCATGATAGGACATAAGAGTTCAGGTTCCCTAACGAGGGGGTTGGAGATGGTTGTTTAGGCAGACAGCTTACTATGAGCACAGCCTGGAGCTTCCCAGAGGTTCCCACATCTTAACAAGTGCTGAATATCCCACAAGAGGAAGCTTTGTGTCACATGTAACTTTATAACTGCAACCCACCTGTGAATTGCCAGCCAGGATGGGAAGGACCTTTTTGTAAAAAAGCTAGACAACAGCCCAAGATTACCAGGGCAGAAGTTCTTCCCCAAGCCTGTCCACTTTCCTACTCCAGGGAGTGGACTTTAGCTGACAACAAGCCTTGTTTGTTCATTTTAGCCTTGATGACTCTTGTAGCTTTTGCTGCCAGGGTATCGAGAACCTGGCCACATCCTGCTACAACAGGAATCTAGCATGACTTGAAGCCGTAGGAGCTGGGTTGGCAAAGGCCTACTCTCCTGCTCACCCTGCCATGCACTGGTGATGACATCGCAGTGACACTGACTCATCATGTGGAGCTGCTATGGATGCTGGCTGCCCCACCTGCCCCATGGGACACACATCCCACGCCCCACTCAGCCTTTATTAAACGGGACTCCTGGCTAACACAGGACTGAACGGGTGAAGCCTTCTTCACACTAATATGCTAGGAGCTAGTTGCTGAAACCAAGCTTGGGAAAGGGTCTCTCTGCCTTTGCCTACACCAGCCTTGCCTGTGACAGCGAGAACTTCTCAGAACTCAGAGGCTGAGCTTGCATATGAATGAATGCTGTTGAGTGACATGTGGTCTGATTTTCCTTGTCTCATTTCTAGACTGAACAGGTGTAGTCCAGGAAACAGGGGTACACTCAGTGATGCCTCTTCTATCACCTCACTTCAGCCATCTGTCCCGGCTTCCCTCTCATTCAAGAGAGCCCCTTACATACCAATTATAATGCAGCAGATAATGAAAATGACAGCCAAGGTGCTGCTGCTGATGATCACGGCCTTGGACTGGACTGCTTTTGGAGTCATGGTTGATGGTGCTGAAATGGAAGCAGAAAACTGGAGACCCCTGTCCAGACCCCAAGCCCCAGGAGTTGCCTCCCCTGCACACAGCTGGCACTCTCTTATGTGCTGGGCCTAGAGTGGGAGGGAGGCAGATGGGTCCTGTCCTCAGGGAAACATATGCCAGAAAGCGAAGCTGGGCTGACCAGGCTGACTGTCCTTCCTGCTGTGGCCAAGAGGAGCAGAGCCTGGGAATGGAGGTGGCGAGGGGCCACAGGAGCTGATGTTGTGGGAATCTGAAGGATCCCAGAGAAACAGCAGCTGAGATGGGGGAAAGGGAAGAGTGTTGGAGAATGTCGGGAAACAAAGTGCAGCCACAGTATGGGGCGGGCAGGAAAGGCAGCGGGAGGGACTGACATGCACATGAACACAGGCCTACACCCTCATGTACACACACACGCATGCACATGCCACATTCACACACACAAAAACACTCACAGTATCTACACTTTTATGCACACACACAAGCAGAGCACACTCATACAGCAAACACCACAACCACACTCACAGCACGCACACCGTCAGATTCATACCCACACACATCTCATCCCAGCCCTCGCCCTAGTTACCTGTGGTCCCCAGCATCTCCATCATGGATGACAAGAAGCCCAAAAGCCACTTCTGACAGTCTCCTGCTGAGACTTTCTGCAACAACGTGGTCATGTGCTCATCATTCTCCAAGGCTGTCTTCAGCACTGTGGCTCCAGGATGAAGCTCTGTCCATGTACTGTTGTCTGAGCTGAAGAGCAGGTTTATCTGTCCATTGAAGCTAACATTCCAGGACCCGTGTGTTTTCCCACTGCCTTCCTTTTCACAGCGCATCATGCTCTGCAGGGTGGGGACATCTGTCCCCACTGGGAAGAGATGGGCCAACATCAGTCTTGACAAATACTTCGTCCCACCTGCTATCCACTGCTTCTGTCCCTCTGGTATTTCCTGGCATTCTCTGTGTTTGGTACCCTGCCCTTATCCCTGGCTAGCAAAAATGTTGCTTTGATCTATACACAATAAAATACCCATGTCTATAGGCTCTGCTGTCCTCAGGGTGCCTTTTCACACTTACCGCTGGTTGTGAAGATCTCTGACTTAAGGTCCAGCAGCTTGTTCCGGAGCTCCTCAGTCACATAATTCAGCGTTTCAATCTGATCCTCCCAGGTCTTTGTGCTGTTGAGCTTCCTTCCTAGGAGGCCCAAGGGGTTCACCTTACCACCACAGCGAAAGGAGAGAAACACCATCTGATCCATTTGCCCTTGAATTTCACACCATGGCTGTTGAGGCTTGGGCTGAGCAGTGATGCTGAAGTTGTAGCTCAGACTGTGAGTGTCTGTGAAAGAATAACACAGGTGAGTGTCACCCAGGCACAGGCTCTGTGCCAGCAGAAACATCCTTCTCAAGGGCAGGGGAACTTGAGAGCACTTTCCTGGGCTCACCTCTGCATCTCCTTCTGCCTCTGAAGGATCTTTCTTCCCCATACTTGCCTCACCTCCACTCTGCCCACCAACCCGTGCATGAGCCTACTATGGCAGTGCCAGGCCTGGATGGCAGAAAATCTGCTCACATGGATTGCAGGGTGATGGGACAGTGCATGGGGGCTTCCTTGAGGGTGCTGATCACCATGGGACAGGGTTGGGACAGGACAACAGGCAACAGGGCTGATGAGCCTGCACAACATGCACTACAAAACTCACAACTTCCATGGATATTGCATAGGGCGGGAACACAAAACATCCCAGGGTGAGATAAAATGACAATTCAGGAAAAGGTCCAGTGCTCTCTGTGCCTCTGGAAGGTGTGGAAGAAGCCTGTTCACCAGCAAACAGAAAGGAGCACCTGCATCATCAGAGGCACAGTCACAGCTCCTGCTCAAGCCTGGGGTTGGCCACTGTAGAAGGTGACCCCAAAGTGATAATGGAGTGAAAAATCTCAATACAAGGGATGCTAAGTACAGGTGCAGAACTGGGAAGACATCATGATTGCATTGCTGGGAAAGGCACCATGTCTGCCAGGCCCTGTACACAAAGATCTGAGCCTGTGAAATTCAGAGCACGGGGATCCTATAGGCCAGCCAGATGTGCAGACAACCTGGATAGTGCCTGATCTGAATAATGACAAGGTCCACAAAGAGGAAGCACAGGCGGTCAGGAGGCTGATGCAAGCACTCAAACAAGAATGTTGGAATCTCTGTTCCGTTACCAGATTTTGGCCAACCCTCTGAGCCAGGCATCACTAATCACAAAAGCTGGGCTGTTTTCTAAACGACCCACAGCTCACAGCAAGTGCATTGCTTCCGGTGGCCTTTCCCAGAGAACATAAGTCCATCTGCTGGGGGAGCTACATGGCAAAAAGAAAAGTCCGCAGAAAAGTGGGTGTCTGAGGCAGTGCTCAAGCCTTGGCCTGGGCTGCCCGTATCGCACATCAGAGTGCCTGGGTTGAGACCAGGCTCTGCTACTCATTCTAGCTTGCTGGGAGGCAGCAGGTGGCCAACCATGTGGAAGACCCTACAATACTCCAGGCTCTTGGCTTTCCTGGTCCTACCCTGGCCACTGTTGGCCTCTCTCTCTCCCTCTTCTTCCCTCACTGCCCCTGCTTTCCCTCTCCCCTGCCTTTCTCCCTTTCCCTGCCCTCCCTGGGCTTCTCTCATCTTGTTCTTGCTCTGTCTGTCTCCTTGCCCTTGTCTCCATCTCCTTATAACTCTCCCTCCTCTCAGTCTCCCTCTCACTCCTCTCTCCCTCCCTCCTCTTCCCTCACTCTCCTGCTTTCCCTCTCCCCTGCCTTTCTCCCTCTACCTGCCCTCCCCCTTCCTCCCCTCCTCATCCCTTCCCTATTACCAGCTCAGGGCCCTTCTTCCCAACTTTCCCTCCTCTTCCCCTTCCTCTCCTTCTCCCACCTTCTCACTCTCCCCCGTCTGACTCCTTTCCTTTCACCTCCCCCCTTCACCTCTCCTCTCCCTCTAATCTCTCTCCTCTCCCACTCCCTGCTAAGCATCTCTCACCCACCTGCTCTGACCACTGCTCCAGCTGCATGCTCTGCCCCAGGACCTAGGCTGCTCAGGCGCCACCCTGACCTTGGAACAAGACCTGTGGTCTTGCTGCTTTCACTCCCAGACACTCTGAAGAGAGCTCCCTTCTTCTCCTTTCTGGCTCACCTGGCTTGCAAAGCTACTGAGCTGGACCCAGAGGGGGCTGAAGACAGGGTTGCACACACAACAAGGTGAAAATTCCCTTGGGTCATATACTTACCTGCAGGTGCCGCAAGGGGAAGAGAGAGCAGAACCCAAAGAACGAGCTTGAGGACTTCCCGAAGCACCATGACTGAGCAGTGCAAGAAGCCGTCCCCTCTTCGCAGCACAAGGAGGAAGAGTGGATGATCAGCTGCACACCCAAGACTTCGGCAGCTCCTAGGACGGCCCAAGGAAATGCTGCTCTGGAAGGAATCTGCTGTCACAGGAATATTGCATGGAGTTGCAGGTTCATTCTGTTGACTAATATGAGTCTGCTTCCCTTTCCCTGCCCTCCATGGGCCTCTCTCAGAGGCTTCCTGTCCCCTTCCCAAAAGTGCACAAGCTAGTGCAGGTCAGGCTCTCTCTGGCCCCCGCAGGTGGTTACAAGCAACAGGACCTTCCTGCACCCCAACACCCTGGACTCAACTCTGCAGAGGACAGGCTCCCATCTACTTTGCAGTCATCCTGTAGGACAGGAGCAGGGCTCAGTTCACATTCCCTAGTCCAGGAGCAGGGCTGTTGGGGTCAGAAGCCACAGCACCCCTTGGACTCTCCTCGCAGGACCCGAGGAAGGGACCATCCACATCACACAGGCCCATAAGCCCAGGGAGTCGGCCAGGCTTCTCAGCAGGACAAGGGGACAGCCAGCCTTGTCCCTCTCAACACCATGAGCAAGGACCCAGCTGCCACAATCACCAGGGAGACAGACAATGAGCTCTCTGTGGACCAAATATATACACCTGGGAACCCCACCATCCTCTGGAATATAGCCTGACCTGAGGGAATCTATGAGCTGGCAGATGTAGAATCCAAAATCATGTTTCTAAGGAAAACCCAGTGAGATATAAGAGAATACAGATCAAACAAGGAAACTGAGCGCCTGACCCAGTTGCCTAACAGCTAAAGTCTTCACCTTGAACCGAGATTCCATATAGGAGCTGGTTCCAATTCCGGCAGACCTGCTTCCCATCCAGCTCCCTGCTTATGGTCCGGGAAAGCAGTCAAGGACGGCCCAAAGCCTTGGGATCCTGTGGCCCTATGGGAGACCTGGAGGAAGCTCCTGGCTCCTGGCTTTTGATCAGCACAGCACTGGCCTTGGCAGCCACTTGGGGAGTGAATCATCAGATAGAAAGAAGATCTTCCTCTCTGTCTCTCTTTCTCCTGTATATTTGACTTCGCTATAGAAATAAATAAATTGTTTTAAAAATACAGGGAAAATGAGTTATAAGAATAGCAGAGGCTTCATCCCCAACAGACCAAATGTATAAGACATTCTGAAGTAAATACTAAAACACAGGATACCATTAAACTCAATAAAAAACAAGTACAATCATCATTCAATCAACCTAATGATTACCCTGAGTTCTTATCTAGAGATATTACCACTGAATATAAACGGATCCAATTTACCAACCAAGAGACGTAGATTAGCCCAGGGTTAAGCCTAAGATCCCTTTATGTGTTGGCCACAAGAAACTCACTTCACAGAGATACAGACTGAAAGTGATGGGTTGGAGAAAGATACATCAGACAGGGCCCAGTGTGATAGCTTAACCCTTAAGATCATCCCTTTGAACACACCAGGATCACATTTTAGCACCAGTTCTAATCCTGGAAGCTCCACTTCCCATCCAGCTCCCTGCTTGTGGCCTGGGAAAGCAGTGGAGGACGGCCCAAATCCTTGGGACCCTGCACCCGCGTGGGAGATCCAGAAAGAAGTTCCTGGCTCCTGGCTTCGGATCAGTGCAGCACAGGCCGTTGTGGTCACTTGGACAGTGAATAAGCAGACGCAAGATCTTCCTCTCTGTCTCTCCTCCTCTCTCTACATCTGCCTTTCCAATAAAATAAATAAATCTTACCACAAACATTTTTAAACAAAGATACATCAGGCAGAAGAGAACCAAACGTGAGCAGAAGTAGCTGCCTGATACAGACAACACACACTTCAAACAAAAAATGTAAAAGAGGTAAAGGGCATTACATATTTTTGATATATATTCAATTCAACAAGAAGACATTACAGTCATAAATACGTTAACCAAAACAAGACCACCCAAGGATATATAACAATTGTTATTAGATCTGAGGAGAGATGGACTCCAACGCAATCACAGTGGATGACCTCAACACCTCTCACCAAGGACAGATCCTCCAGAAAATCAGTAATGACCCACTGCAGTGCACACACTATGGAGCCAATGGGCCCCACAGGCACTGATGGCAGATTCTTCTACTTGCTCTTCTCACCAGCACATGGAACATTTTCGAGGACAGACTACAAGTATCTCAGCAAGTTTAGCAAGATTGGAAGCACACTGCGTCTTCTCAGACCATCCTCTGCTGCTTTCTGGGGCCACAGCAGGGGGCTGGATCACAAGCAGAGCAGCCCAGGACACACACTGGTGCCCACACAGGAGAGGCTGAGGATGAGTACACTACACCACTGTGCTGGCCCCTCCTCAATGCTTTCTTCCTGCAACTTCTCAGTCTCAGATTTTATTTATTTTTTTTAAAGATTTATTTTTATTATTTTTTCATTGGAAAGGTGGATATACAGAGAGGAGAGACAGAGAGGAAGATCTTCCGTCCGATGATTCACTCCCCAAGTGAGCGCAACGGGCCGATACTATGCCGATCCGAAGCCAGGACCCTCTTCCGGTTCTCCCACGCGGGTGCAGGTTCCCAAAGCTTTGGGCCGTCCTCGACTGCTTTCCCAGGCCACAGGCAGGGAGTTGGAAGGGAAGCGGGGCTGCTGGGATTAGAACCGGCGCCCATATGGGATCCCGAGCGTGCAAGGGGAGGACCTTTAACCACTTGCGCCACCGCGCCGGGCCCTCAGTCTCAGATTTTAAATTGACATTTTTGATCCAACCTGAGTTGATGCTTGTGTATGGTGAAAAATAGGGATCTAATTCCATGCACTCATATGTATAGACACACATATGTATAAATATGAATCTGTTAAGAACTAAGTAAAGGTTAAAATGATAATAATAAAAGTGGAAAGGGTTTACCAGTTGTTTTTAAAAGATTTATTTATTTTTATTGGGAAGTCAGACAGAGAAGAGAGACAGAAAGGAACATTTTCCTTTCTTTAATTCACTCCACAAGTAGCTGCAATGGCTGGAGCTGCATGGATCCAAAGCCAGGAGCCAGGAGTCTCTCCCAGGTTTCCCATGCCTGTGCAGGGTCCCAAGGCTTTGGGCCATTCTCCACTGCTTTCCCAGGCCACAACCAGGGAGCTGCATGGGAAACGGATCTGCCAGGATTAGAACCAGCATCCATATGGGATCAGGGCATGTGCTAGGTGAGGACTTCTGCCGCCAGGCTAGCATGCCAGGCCCAATTTCAGTTTTTGATATTTTGTCATATTTGTGTTGCTCTGTCAGTGCAGAGTAGGATAGAACTAATCAGGTCATTTCTACATCAGACAAACAAAAGTGAAAAGCCAAATTGTATTTTAGAAAATGAAATGTAGGATTAAGAGCCCAGAAGGAGAACAGCCAGAGCTCAGGTGGAGACCGGGAGTTGAGGCCCACAGAGAAGTGCTGTTCTGGATCCTAGGAGTTGGGTTTGGGTAAGGGGCCTTGGTGTGGTGAGAAGACACTTGTCGTGTAGACCATCTGGCTGCTGTCATGTCCACATGTAACTTAAGTGAACGCATTTCTCACTTGCACATCCCCCCTCATCTTTAAGGAGCCCTTCTCTGTTTCCTCTCCAGGTGGAAGGCAAGGCAGGCAGCGATGGCGAAAAACAGGACGTTTTGCCATTTCCCCAGAGCCGTTCTCTGACCCCTGCCTCACAGCTGAAGACAGAGGGGGCAGAGGGATGAGGAAAAGGAGAAACACATTAGGTCTTTGGGAATCTGAAGAGCTCAGTTTCCACAGTGAATCCCCAGCCCTTTCCTGCCTCCACCTCCCTCTGAGAGACACAATCCCCAGGGAGCAGAGACTGGAGGTCTCTTCTGATGTTCACGTTGACCTGGGGGTGCGACCCCCAGCCATGCGGTGCTGTGGAGCTCTTCCTGGGGAAGTTTCTGGTATTTCTGGTGCAGGACACTCTGCAGCTGTGACGTCTGCATGCTTTTCAAGAGTCTCTCAGGAGGGGATGCCAGACAGTTAAACTTGAAACTCGCCATAGGGACTTGGCTATTCTGATAACATGGGGGAATAGGAGAGAGGAGTGAAAAGGGAGGGAGTGAAAGCAGGGAGACAGAGAACCCCTCTACCTACAGAACTGTATCATAGAAAACAAGGAATAAAACCATTTTTAAAAAGTGAGTGTGTCCAGGAGCCCAGCAGCCCTTTTTAGCATTCTGCCACTGTCCCTGGCAGAGGACGGGTCACCCACTCAGCATACGGCCAGATCCGTGCAAGATCAGACTGTAGGCGTCCTCTGATGTGAGCTGCACAGTGCGGACCTCGAGTAGCATGAAAATCTAGAGTTCAGTGACTGCTCTCAAACACCATCCCACCACAAGATAGAAGAACTCCAAGGGCGCTGATCTCCACATCCACTGCTGCTCCCAGTGCGCCACCTGGTGTGCGCGCCGCGTTTGTGCCTCCTCTGGGGACGCGGAGGGGAGCATGGAAGGTCCGTCTCAGGTCCAGCAGGGAGCCCGTCTCGGTTCCAGCCGGGAGGGGGAGCGGAGCCTGTGCGGGTCCCGGCGTAGGGGGGGCGGGGAGCCCGTCTCGGGTCCAGCCCCGAGGGGGGCGGAGCCTGTGCGGGTCCCGGCGTGGGGGGAGGGGAGGTCCGTCTCGGGTCCAGCCGGGAGGGGGGCGGAGCCTGTGCGGGTACCGGCGTGGGGGGGGGGCGGGGAGCCGGTCTCGAGTCCCGGCCGGGAGGGAATGGGGAGCCCTCGTGGGTCCCGGTGGGGAGGGGGTGGGGAGCCCGTGCGCGTTCTGGCGGGGAGGGGGTGGGGAGCCCGTCTCGGGTCCAGCCGGGAGGGGGAGCGGAGCCCGTGCAGGTTACGGGTCCAGCCGGGAGGGGGTGGGGAGCCCGTCTCGAGTCCCGGCCGGGAGGGAATGGGGAGCCCTCGTGGGTCCCGGTGGGGAGCGGGTGGGGAGCCCGTGTGTGTTCCGACCGGGAGCGGGTGGGGAGCCCGTGCGCGTTCTGGCGGGGAGGGGGTGGGGAGCCCTCTCGTGTCCAGGGGGGAGCAGCGGGGATCCTGTCCCCAGTCTGGCGGGGAGGTAGCAGGGAGCGGCGGGGAGCCCT